TTCTGTCAGAATACAGCTTTTTGGTAATGCTGCAATAAACTGTCACTCTAATGTGGTAACATGTAATAGATACAATAATTCAATCATTCCATATTACTTGACATAATAAAGAAAATGACTTGAAAAACACAGCCTAAAGAACAAGGTTGAAACTCTAGTTAGCACAGGTTTTAGGCTTTCTACTGTTGTAGGCGATACCTTCGGAGTTGATAGCTTTGGAGGCAAGGACCGTGAAGACCTTCATGTCTTTATCACCATTGTCTAGAATGGTGGATGCCTCAGAATGTCAAAGGTATGGGAAAAGAAGATACATTCGTTTAGGTTTATTATCAATATTTTAAAGCACATGGCTATTTTAAATGATTTAATCCTATGTGTGACAATTAGTCGAACCTCCAGAAGTCCTGGAATTTCAACTACAGCCATGAAGTTTCAGCTGACTTGAGAGATTTAGTTTGATGGCCAATTACTATGGGCAGCCTAGAAGGCATTGCACCCGGCAGAAGCACTAGAAACATCCTTTCCTTATGCTTCTAAAACTTGAGATGATATCATCAGCTCCAGTCCCATAGTATCCATCTTATTCTCGATATTCACTCTCTCCATTGATACAAGTGTAGCACCTTTGTTATTTTTTAAAATGCATTGGTTTTTACTCCAAACAGGAGATGGTTTTATTTATACCAATATCTTAAATATTAACACATACTAAGGAAAAAATTAAAAATTTACATTTGGAAATTGAGTTGACATTGGGAACTTTAGGTTAACTGTCACAGTGGGTCACAGGAAAGAACTTGGCCAAATTTGTCAACCATATTTGGCCTAGTTTTCTGCATATGTTTGCCAGATGCAACAGCCAGTTTATTGCTGGAGGGCATAAAAATCTGGAGGAAAGGCTTGGCACTTGTGCTGTTTAACCCACTGGGGGGTCTTACTTTTGCTGAGATTTTGCCTACAGAGATCTGATTGTACAATAGAGAATGAATGGGAGAACGACGCTTCTCTTTGCTTTCCATAAACTAGAGATTTATAGAATGCTCGTGTCAAGCATTTTTGGGAACACAGTTGCAAAAAGAAAAGGAAGATTAAAAATGTTATCTGTACTGTGAAGAATACAGTTCTAGGGGTGAATGGTGAGGCAAATGGGCCAATTAACAAACATGTACTCTTTATTAAGGGGGCTCTTAATTTCCCGGAAAGTTATCACTCAAAATGGGAAGCATGAATATATATATATATATATATTTATAAAATTAGCCTGATACGTAAAAGAATTTCAGAATTTTTGACAAATCAATCATATAATTAGAGGTTATATATTTATAGCTGATTCAAATCCCAAAATGAATAGAGATGTCAAAGCCTTGAGCATATTGAACATTTACACATGAATAAGCAAGATGGCAGAAACTGTTTTCAGGCAGACCTATTTTTTTTTTTTTTTTTTTTGCCTTTGTATGTTTTTGGTGGTTCTTCAACTTGCAATTTCCATATAATATTTTTTCATGTTTACGTTAGCATGTAATTAGCATACATATGATTCCATAGTGGATATGTAAATACTCCCTACTCCCCAAATAGGTCAAATGGCTGTGGGTTTTATTTTGTTTAATACTACTAGACTATTTGTTATTTAGACAGTAATTGTATTTTTTTTCTTTTTAATTATTAATTTGAGTCATGTGGCAGCTTATTAAGTCTTGTTTTTAAGTCAAAGACATTAATGTTTCAGGGCAGGTGTTTGAGTTTCAGAATTTGGAGGAATAGAGTTAAACACATTTATATTATTTTTCCCTTTCACCACACTTATTATTTGAAGATTGTAGTCACTCTTTAACTATCAATTTTTTTTTCCATTATTTTCATAAAACCTTCATACAACCAGACACCTAAATACTATCTCAAAGTCATAACTTACTTCTGGAAGTAGTCTCTCTGTAACTCTTCTCAGATCACTGGGAGATATCTGGGAAATGCTTGAGGCAAATATTTCAATGAAGTGAATACCAAATTTATTTTAATGCTCTGTGTGTGTGTGTGTGTGTATATATGTGTTGAGTGAAAAAGACAGAGAAGCACACTATAGAGAATGTATTTCAATGATTAAAACATGCAGAGAATAAACCAGTTAAAGTATCATTTAATTGGACATCTTATCTTTCACCTAATACAGATGTATAAGTATATACTTATACATTATGAGTAAAGTTATACATCTTTATATATATGTGTGTATATATGTATGTATATTTATATATATGTATGGATACATATATATATTTATATCCAAAGGCCTCTGACACAGGCGTGTGCACGTATACACACACACACACACAAACACACGCCTTTGCATTTATTTTTTTGTTTTTGAGACGGATTCTCACTCGGTCGCCCAGGCTGGAGTACAGTGGCGCAATCTCAGCTCACTGCAACCTCCACCTCCTGGGTTCAAGCGATTCTCCTGCCTCAGTAGACTATAGGCGCCCACCACCATGCCTGGATAATTTTTGTGTTTTTAGTAGAGACGAGGTTTCACCATGTTCGCCAGTCTGGTCTCTAACTCCTGACCTCAAGTGATCTGCCCGCCTTGGCCTCCCAAAGTGCTGAGATTACAGGCGTGAGCCACTGTGCCCAGCCTGCATTTTATTTCTGGTTAGCTCAGGTCAGTAAGTCATTACTGCTGGGTACAGATGTGAAGTGCTGATGATTTCTCTAACACTACTGTGGGAACAAATGGGGCTAACTGTGGCTGCTCCAGAGAGGTACCGTTTGTAGGGCACTGAGATTGTTGAAAAAGAAAATGACCAGTGATACATGGGTAGGGAGCTGGGGTGGGTGGCCCTCATCACTTCCATGTCACTACATACCCTATATTTCTATCTTTCCCTTGGTGATTTGCAGATTTATTGATAGAAATATTTATTGATAGAAATATTTTCAACTAAGTAATTCTTCACATCCTACCATGTGTAATGAAATTTCTACTTGTAGAGTTACTGTGTACTCTTAGTAACCATTGGAAGCATGGAAAAAATTGATTTGGAAACCCTGAAAGCCCTATGATAATAAAAATCATACAGCACTTAACTTGCCTGGTGTATTGTAATTACATTTATCTGTCTTCCCCCACCCCCATACTGTGATTTCATTAAAAGCAGGAACAAATTTTAAATTTCCAGATTTTAAATTTCACAGTTTCTTATAGCAGAAGTATTCAATAAAGGGTAGTTGAATGAAGAAAGTGGTGAATGAAGTTTAATGAAACATCAGGATCTCTCTATTTTGTTATCTTTACCAAAATCATTATTTTTTTGCTTAGGTAAGTGGCAGGAATTTATATTTCTTTTTTTGTATTTACTGAGACTGTCAAAGAACTATGATATTCGTAATGAAAAGAACACTGGAATGATCATATCAATACCTGAGTTTAAATGTTGATGTCACCTCCTACAGCCTTCCTTTCTTCATCTGTAAAATGGGCTAATAATATCTACCCCATGTAAGTGTTATTTCAGTTATATTTCTTTCTTTCTTTTTTCAGGAAACTCTTGAAAATCTCCCATAATCCTAAAACTGCCTAGCTAATATAGTAAGGATACAATTTTGAAACATTTCCTGATGCTTAAAAAAAAAAAAAATATCCCTGTAAATCTTGCTCTGCAGGTGCCATGCTCATGGATGAGGGATTGAGAGCTTCTGTAGCTTTAGGAGTAGGGCAGGGACAGCCTACGTTCCAGAACACATGTGCCCTGGCAGCTGTCAGAGAAGTTCTTATAAAAACCAGGATTTGTTGAAAATTCTAAAGCTTACATTTAAATATTAAGAAACAACCCTGAGGATCTGAGACAGGATCTTATGTAAAGTGAGATGTAACCACATAGGAAAGGAGGACCCTTCCAGTGGGGCAAAGTGATGCTTGAGGAGAGATTGAGGATGGGGATCAAGAACAAAGGGATTAAAAACAACACAAAACACTTGGGAAGGCTGAGGAGGGAGAGGCAGAGGAGGCCGTATCTCCCTGATCCTCTGGAACCCTGGGGGAGTGCCTTTTGAGGATCTCCAAACCACTCTGCTTCAGGTAGTAGAGTTGAAAAGTGGCCTGTTGAAGAAAAGGCCATTCTACTCACGTCTTTTCCAGGTACCTCATGTCTTAAAATTGAGCCAGATGTTCTGGAGGGACAGATGTCGTGACCTTATCAGTAGGCATCAGCACACCTTGCCGGGTCCCAATAGCTCAAAGCAAGGAAATCGGTAGCAGAGATTACAGGGTGCCCCTCTCCAAGCTGGGGTCACAGCTGAGTCTGAGTGTCAGATAGAGCTGAGATGAGGAGTCTAGTCAGTTGGGGGAGATGGCCAGAAGCAGGCATTGTTTGGTGCCTATGACCAGAGGACCATCCCAGGCACATCAGAAACAGTTACAGTTAAGTTTGAAGCCAGTAACCACCAGCAACCAGGCAAGATTAGCCGTGCCTGACTCAGACTTTAGCAGCCCACCCAAGAAGGGCAGTAATGACAGCAGATGTTCTGTTGCCACCACAGCGTTACTTACACTTCCTCTGAGGAGGTGCTAGCATGCCAGAAGGAGGGGGAAGAGAGAAAACAAACCGAAAGACTGAAAATCTGCCCCAAATTGACTATTTTTCAGAGAACCCGAGTGATACCAAATGAACCAGATTAAAATGTTTGTTTTGTTTTGCATTTTTATCACCAAGGGAGAATGGAGACTTGTGAGCAACGTGAAGTCAGTGACGTGATGGAAAACGCAGTTTAAAAAAAAATTATTTTTTGCACATCTGTATTATAATGAATACATTTCCAATCAGCCACACTAGTGTGTCTTTCTCTCTTTTTAACTTGCAGATGTATAGTGTTCTCATTTATAATGTATGTGTTTGGAGCATCTTACGGTGTTCAGAATGCGTTCCCATACGCCCTCTCATCTGTTCCTTGCCATAACACAATGAAGTAATGTCAATATTATTATGCTTATGTTTCAGGAAGTTGAAGATTTGTCCAAGAGCAGATAGCTGAAGAGAGAGAGAAAGAAGAGAGAACAGCTTACAGCTCAGGTCCTCTCTCCATGCTTAGGAGACACTACAAATGCTATGGTCTTGAGTCTCATTTTGTTTCTCTCTGGAAAACACATGTGCACTTTGTTGGCGACAGTATGGGTATGGTTATTTTGTTAGTTCTTACACATTTGTTTTAAAATTTAATGAAGTAGTGCTATAAAGCTTTATCAGGATGTATTTAAAATGAAGAGAGTCTCTTGTTATCTAGCATGCAACTGATTCTTTCAATTTGGTTTGGTTAGTCTGAATCTTACCGGAAGTCTGTCCAGGTGATTTAGTTGAGAGCATCCAAACCAACCAAAATAAAACAAAAACAAGAGCCCATGGCAAATTCATTCTGATCATTTCACATCCTAGAGAAAAGTGCAGAGAAACAAAGGTGAGTCAATGTTTTATAAATTCAGGGTCAATACTGTATGCAGTGTCAATACTGTATGAGTTCCAAAGGATTTGTGTCACTATTACATTAGAAATGATCCACTTTGATTTGATGTATAGTAGATCTGGCCATATAATGGCCAATAAACAAATAAGTAAATAAATAAAACTCCCACACCAGAATACAAAGGATAGGGAGCAAACGTATTTCGTACGATAACTGCAAACCACTTACGGGCTTCAGTACAAAGTAATAGAGACCATCTCTTCTCTTTGGCTTTTCATTCATTTTTAGCATTAGCGAATTTATGGCCTGTGCTCTTGACCTTGAGCCCTAAGAGGTGTGTGTCTTTGCCATGCTTCCATGGCTACATGTTAGGAGAGTGAGTGTACATTACATATCCATAATCCAGATCTTAGATAGTAGGGGGGTGGCATTATAATTTGTGGAGAGAGGCTATAATTTGGTGCTCAGGGATTACCTCCTTTGTATATGTTTGCCCACTGCATGCTACCATTTATTGTAAGCTTTTAATTCATGATCTTCATTCTAGTTGAATCTGTGGAGCTATTGGTCATGAGTATAGAAATAGATCTATAGGGTTTTCTTGAATGGCATTTTTCATTGCTAATGTGTTTTGTGACCAGCCAGGTTTATGGATAAATCCAGTTTTTCTGTTTCTCTGAGAGGTATGCATCAAAGCAGTTTTTTCCTCTTAGGAATTTTAATTTCCCTTCAGGGTTCGGTGGGCCATTTAGTACCTCCATTATCTCATAACTTATTCTTACTATTTAAATGACTTTTTTTTTTTTTAGGATGTTAAAATAGCATGTTGGTCCTTTTACATAACTTTTATTTCAAAGTCAGACCAAACAAACCACCAGAGTGCTGTAAATTTACACCTTACATTTATTTGGGATTCTTTTTATATTCATATTTTTAGAGTCTTTATATGCAAGCAGAAATTTTCCATCCCCTCTCCACTGATCACCATTGAGGACAGGGCAAGAGATGGGCAGACCCATGCTTTTATGTGCCTGTAATGGCTAGCCTCTTTGTTACACACTTTATATTGGTCATTATCTGATAGAATTCCAACAAATGAAAACATACCCAAGTTAAAGAAATTAAATCTCCTTATCCATCACCTTAGAAAAATGACAACACAGCATGTATATAATTTTAAATGACTTGTTTGAATATTTATTGCTAGATTGGGAGAACATTTCTACTGATAAGAAGCTCCTTTGATTTATCAAAGTTTTCCATATTATTTGTTAATCAACTCCATGTCCTTAATATCCACAGCTCATTTTTCCTATGATAATGACTCCATTGTGCAACATATAAATATAATGAAAAATATCCCTACCTGTATTAAAAATTGAGAAACCTCAATTTAATTCACACACATTGTATTTTGTAGTCAACTCAGGACTGTAGTTATGTAACTTGAGTTATTATTGCTGGAGCAACAAGGTAAGAGAGGCATTGAAACACTGCAAAAGAGACTGCAGTGGACCAGGGTGGTAATGTTGTCCTGGTAATAAGCCTACTCCTGCCACTGCTGTTAGATGAAGGTTTTCTTTTTCTTTTTTAAGTATTATATAATTATAAGCAATTATTTTTGTCCTTTGGTTTTCCTATTATCTTTTTCCTCCTCTTTTTGATATCAAAATGACATTAACTGGAAAATATAAACCAATAAGATTTGAGCTATTTAATATGTTAAAAGATAATTTGCCAGGTTTCAAGTTATTTCCTCATTTGGATCTAGCATGCAGCACTTACTGATATGAATTTTCTAACTCATGTCTATTTAAAAGTATTGTGTACACATTTCAGCAAATTTTGGCAAAAGGACGTCCTCTGATGGGGAAGTGACTGTTCCTTTCTTTTGCCATTTCCCAGTCTTAAACCCTTGTTTTTACATCAAGCTCCTTTGTTAAGGATTCAACATAAAAGTCTTTGATACTATTGAGTCTATCTCTGACTCATTATTAGCCAACACTCTGTGTCTGGCTGGCAACTTTTCCGTAAGTGGTAAGGTCAGCCTCATACAGTATTGCACAGCCTTTCCCATTCCTTTGGCGTCAGTGAGAATCAGATGATTCAACAGTGAAAAGCAAACTCTTGGACTGGAATAGCAAGATGACCCATCTCTAAACAAAACAAACTGATGTTCAGACTAGGTAGGATTCTCTCATGCTTAACATGCATCTTACTGGTTCTTTATGAAGAACTTTCTCTTGGTGAGAGTACTCTTTAATATTTGTCTTTACCACAGGTAATCAGCATCTGTAATTCATGATTTCTCTCCTTAGTTAACAAGGCTGTGGAATATTTGAAAGCAACTTAGGGTCAGCATGATATAGTGGAGAAGGTGTTGAGTCAATAGATATGTGTACCATCTGGGTGCTCATTGAGAGGCCTGTTACCCTCTCTTAATCTATAACTTCATCGTAAAATGGAAATAATCTTATCTGCTTCACAAGGTTGATGCAAAAGTGAATATGTATAAAATTACTTGGTAAATTGTAAAAAACCCTATTCATGTTTAAGGGACTGCTATCCTTTTAAGAAGCATAAGTGTTTGCTGTCATCATTTGAGAGAAGTTGGGAATACTGGAACCTTTTTAAAATCACAGCATAATGTCTTGGAGTGATTTGTTAAATATTGACTTAAACTAGTAGGATTTTCCTTTTTTCTTTTTCTTTTTTTAAGACAAGTTCTTGCTCTATCATGTAGGCTGGAATGCAGTGGTGTTGGTGTGATAAAGGTCAGCGCAGTCTCAACCTCCTGGGCTCAAGTCATCCTCCCGCCTCAGCCTTTTGAGTAGCTGGGACCACAGGTGTGTGCCACTGTACCTGGCTAATTTTTGTAGTTTTTGTAGAGCTGGAGTCTCACCATGTTGCTCAGGGTGGTCTCAAACTCCTGGGTTGAAGTGATCCTCCTGCCTTGGCTTCTCAAGGTGTTAGGATTACAGGCGTGAGCCACCGTGCCCAGCCAACTAATGGAAGTTTCAATAGTCAAAGTGTAGCATTTTCCTTAATCTTTGGCTCTGTAAGGGTATCATGCTATATTGGAAAATCTTCTTTCTTTAACCACAAAATTTAAAATGAAACTGGATTTGAGTTAGCTAGTACTCTTTCAGTAAATTGTGTGTATTTCCTTTTAAGTAATTTGCTTCTTCCAATTGTTTCATCTTTATCATTCATTCTCTTTCCTCAGTCCTTTATTCGCTGCTGAGGGGAAGCAATGAAGAATGTCCTTTGACTCTGCCCAGTTTTTTATGCACACACACAAACCTTTTTTTTTTTTAGAGGCAGGTGTAAAGGAAATGTAATATGTTTTTTAAACCTAGTGGTGGGTGTGCCAATTAAGGAACTTGTAAGTAAAAGTTGAACTTTGGAGCCAAAACGATTGTTGGGGCTCATCATCTTCATAACGAAAGTCTTTGCAATTATAATTTCATTTGGCAAAGATGAAGTTGTACCCTTGGGAGATGCCTTGCCAAATCTTTATCCATGCTTCTGAATTGATTCCAGTCAGACTTTTTTATAGGCAAACTACTTCATATCCTTTCTTTGTGGTGTGTGCCCTTAACCTCAAGAATTCAGTTTGTGAACACTGGAATAGTGTTCACAGAAAGTGTTTGGAGAAGAACGCCTTTTAAAAATTACAGTCATTAAGGTATAATGCCATATGGGCTCAAGGGGGGGCAGAGAGGCTGAGCGGCTTCTTGTTCATTAAGACTGAAATATTTATATGAGCAGTAATAATAAGAGCATATTTCAGAGTCTGTGTGGTATGAAATTGAGCAGCGATGCAATTAGATAATATTGACAGCCCCTATTGTAATTATGTAAATAGTACTAAGTTCAGCTCTCCTTTTAGCTTTCATTTCCGTGTGCACATGTATGGAGAAGGCTAGAAAATATATAAATGTTGGGCAGGAGTGCTTGGCTGTTTATTTGTAGGACACAGTAGCCTGATGCTTATGTTCCCTTAAGTTATTTATTTATTTATATTTTTCATCCAAATTAAGCAAGTCTAGTGGGTTCCCAGAGGGGACATGCAAATATATGTTTATTTGGAGAAATGCTTAGTGTTAAAGCATCCACATGAGGACCCTGACAACCTCATAGGTCCATTCTGAGTACTTCTCTTTTGGAGCTGTGTGTTGGAATCCCACTTGACTAATACCAATACTTTTTTTTTTTTAACCTTTCGAACAGATAATTTAAAGTTGTTCTCCATAGAGATGTTTTCTATGTCTAGCTGCCTATCAATCTTTCCATCTCAATGCAGAAGTATTTGATTAGTGTATTTAAGGTAATAAAGATGCCAACAGTAGTGTCACCTTGATTGATGCTAATTATAAGTCTTTAATGGTTCCTCTGCTTTGGCCACTGTCTCTGCAGATTGTGATTTTTATGGTTAAAATAGTGCCCTGCTGTCCAAAGGCTTAATCATAAATTCTGGTCTCCCTTTCTTTAATGATTTTGCATGCAGTGGTATAATCCCAGTAACATACATTATCTTCGTTAAAAGCAAGCAGTGACTTTCATAGGGGCGATTAATGCATTTTTAAGGAGCTTGAGGAATCCTTGTTGGGATCATAGCAGAGGTTATGATGATTGTGCTTCCTGGGCATTAGAATTAGCAGCAATGTTGCACAGACTGTCTGAAAATAATTGAAGATTTTTATGCAGTCCC